CTAAACTTCAAGGCGGCATGCAACAAGCAAGCAAAGCATAGCACAAACGCAAGCAATCACTCATACAATTCATTCAAACCAAAAAGTCAAGAAAACTCACCGGTTTGTCTATAAATGTCGTGTATTTGCCCTAAAAGTATGAGGCATGAGGTGATTTGGATAGTTTATGTCGTATTCCAATCTATAAAATGTGGGTATGCCTGCTACTGTGTGCATTTCTACCTTATGATGATGTCTGCAACAGGACAGACTGAAGGCAGATGCCTCGGATAGCGGAGGAAAGGATAAAGTTTCAGATCTACCCTTTCCAATGAATACTCAAAAGCAGGTTCGACAGAGTTTAGACTGTGAAGTTGACTGCTGGTGTGTGTCGGGGCGAACGTTTGTACAATGAGGAAAGTAAATAGTAAATAGTAAGTAGTAAGTAGTAAGTAGTAAGTAGTAAGTAGTAAGTAGTAAGTAGTAAGTAGTAAGTAGTAATAGTAAGTAGTAAGTAGTAAGTAAGACAAATCATAATGCAATAATGCCTATCTAGAAGCAGAAAATGTGTATCTCAAAAGTCCCTTTTTTGTCTCCGCCAGCTAGTTCACGCTAAAGAGCGCCAATTGAATGGCTGTTCCGCTGTTTTCGAAGGAGATCATGTGATTTGTGGAAGCCGGAACCACTTTCAAATCCCTTCTTGATAACAAAGGCCAATCGCCGAAAATAATAGGCGAACTTGGTAAAACATGTCAAATGAATGAAATGATAGTTAAACTGATGTCTCAAAACCCCATTTCGTCTGCACCCTCACTATTTATTCTTCCAACGTCAGTTCGGCTGGTGGCAAATTCGTTTTTGTCGTAATCCGATCAACTCGATGATTTCTGCATCCGTCCACATCATGTTGACGCGAAGCACCTGTTCAAGTGACAATGAAACATTCTACAACACAATCAGCGAAGCGTGTTGTCCAAAGATGAGCGCCAAGACTAAAATTGGGTTCTTTCAAAACCCCTTTTGCCCACAAATGTGGGCTCTCATGTCTGATTGAGGCTCCATTTGGTGGCGAGGAATCGACACGCCAAAACTGCACTGAACTCACTGGGGCAGACATGAAGGCCTTCTGGCCCCATAGACCAAACACAGAAAGCCGGCCTCTGTAAGAAGGCTAAACACGGGTTTGTAGGAAAAACAAGTTCGATATGTGTCTAGCCTTAGAGTCGGATAACGAACAAACCGTCTTACCGTAAGGGCTTCTTCCCTTCTGTCAGAGGCCTCTAGTATTCGACCCATCTGCAGACAAGTTGGCGCCTCCAAGCTCCACTCTCCGGCTGATATAAACGGTTAGCAAGAATAAAGGAAGAAAGCAACCGAAATTTTCACTGAAATGTTACCTTTCAACGAGATAATAGGTTATTTTTGTCAAACAAAATGTGATATTGAAAATGCCTGGCCTTCCTTGAAATTCATATCTGCTCTTTGACCCAATGGCAATCGTGGCAATGTGGCAATGCACTAACGTCTAGAGCTTACACGTTGCATTGTCATGGTTTGACTCTCGATTGGGGTATTGATAAAACAGATCTATGCGATATTGAAACTGCACTCCACTCCTGCCCAGATGAGAACACCTTTTAGGAAAGCAGGTCATGTAAAATTAAATGGAAACGTCAGTTCTACTCATATGATTGTGGGAAAAATCAACTACCAGTTCTTCATCACCTTAAACGAAATAGTGTGAACACAACACAAATAAGGGTCTTCACAACGATATATGAATTGATAGAAGAATTTATCCCCCAAAGATATGAATACACCTCAAAAACCCATTAAATTTTACTTGGCCTTCTCCTTCAAAAGATTTGCTCACTCCAACTAAACTGCAGTTTTAAGCTTGCCTGAATTGTATCACATTAACAGTCCCAAACGTATTCGAAACTGGTTCTATGGAAGACCAATGGTAGTCCTTCATCATTTTTAATAAAATAGAGTGAACACAGTTCTTATTCAAGATCTACTGGTAGAATTGAGATACTATTAAAAACGAAAATAAGTAATGCAGTCGGTTGTAATAGCAAATAAAACTTTACTCTTCAACAATTCCATCATAGAAAGTGATACAGGAAAAGCCCTGCCCTTTTTACTATTCACATCTGCCCTGACCCAAGGGCAATCGTGACAGTGTGGTGCGGTAGTTACCCCGTCGAGACTGTACGCTGTGCAGCATAACCCGGGCTCGAGTCCCGCTGGAGATCCTGATGAGGTTAGTTTAGACGATACCGAAACCTCAGTCCAGCCTGGATAGGAAGCAAGGCTATGTGAAATGTAATGAAATCATGGGGCCTAATAAGCCTATTGTGCAAAAATTCTACTACTCCATTGAGCTAAATAGAGTTACGCTACATAATCACGGGACAAGTTAGGCCTTTCCCATGCCACATTTATAGTAGGATTGTCGATGATAGCATCATGTAATTGTCGTTAAAATAGCATTACAATGAGGTAACTTATATGCAGTATGAGTCATTAGACAAGAATTACTGATAGTTTCAAAATATAGTGATAATGAAAACAACTAATTTCCTCTGATGTAATGGCAAATACATGTTCACCTCAACAATAATCCCACTATACATCTCACATCTGACCTGCGACCCGCTGGCGCCCATGGCTGTGCACGTATAGGGGAGTGGTAAAATTTCGCCACACGATTCTCTATCTCATTAAGAAAGTCGAAACGGTAGTTCAACTTTAGGATAAGAAAAGCCTACGTGAGGTAAGTTTTTGTGAAATTAAATGGCATCAAGAGGTTTTGAGTAGGGTTTCGAGACTACCAGTAAATCAGTGTAATGAGATGTATTCACCCTATTTCGTCTAAGGT